GATATTTGGATGTTTTTGCATCTGATTTCGGCTCCTCTATATTGGTGTTTGTATAACTCTTCAAGTTGTGTGGTTAGGTCTGTTTTTTCAATTTCATCCTGCGTTTGAGTAAGCCGATTTTTTATTCTGTTTTCTTCATTTACCCTCTTTGTTTGTTTGATTCTTGCTAAGATTTTGAATTGTTGTTTGATTGAATTTTTTATTATTGTCCACATCTTGGTTAATTTGTATTCGTTTTCTAAGTCTTGTGCTGTTGCTAAAAGGAGTTAGTTTATTACTCTTTCGATTAGTGGGTCTTCCAAAAGGTTGTTGTTTAACTTCCAATGGAATTCTTTTGTTTTTTTTTCTTTTTATTATTTTTTTTCCAAGTTCCAAAAGTACACCTTTATGGTCGGAGTAATGTAGGGTTTCTCCTAAGTGTGTCACACTAAGTATGTTAGTGTCCGTGGGTATATAAAAACGGTCAATTCTGGTTCTAACCTGGTAGGATCTGTGTGTTAATGCAGTTTCCTTGCCATTCGGTTCTAATTTCCTATACGCATCCACCAGGTGGAAATAGTTTACTATTTCCCCCATGTAGTTGTGTGTTTCTGTTACCGGCTGAGAGGGTGGATATTGTGTGTGTGTGTGTTGTTTGTCCAGTTGTGCCTCTATAAAGTTAAAATCCCCTCCTATTATTAGTTGTTCTCTTATGTTTGTGATTTGTAGTGTATCACTGAGGTTTTGGAAAAACTCACGTTTTTCTCTCCCTTTCTGAGCGGGTGCTTAGATATTGACTAGTGTGTATTTCTGTTCCTGTGAATAGATGAGCCTCGACCTGGGAGAACAGCCTTGTGGATCACTGTAATCTCCTGTGCCAGTATTACTACCCTCCCATTGTTGTCGTTGTGAGTGTGTGTGATTTTGTATCTATCGGATGTTTGTAATATGGCTACTCCCTTATAGTCTCTTTAATAAATTTGGCCCTACCATTACAATAACAAACACAGTTTGTAACAACGACACAGAACAGATATATTTTGTATTTAAAGGCAGGGGACAGCGCGAACGCAGTCCCCCATACGCAAAAATTACGCACCCGAGTCACCCACATTTGGGGTGATCGCAGGCTTCAGCCCACCCGAAGTGCAATGGATGAGCCTCGACCTGGGAGAACAGCCTTGTGGATCACTGTAATCTCCTGTGCCAGGTAAGTATGAAAAAATTGCAGAGGTCAGGGATGGTCTTTAAAAAATTAATGTAACACATCTAAGCTTAACAATAATAACATTACTATAATTTACAAACGTACAAAATAATAAATTTTAGTAACTATATTTTATTTTATAACATATGCAAAATTATATAAATATTTACATTTATATGTAATTAAAATATGTTAATTATTTAATTAGAAATTATTTTAAACAAAATTTGTAATATATAAGCCCGTAATAAAACATTAAGTCCCTTACAGTAATTATTTAAAAATATACTTAGTTACCTCCCTCGATTCATCCTTCTCTACTAGTTTGTGGTTCAATTCATTCCTGTTACTTCTCTTACGACGCCGTTTTTAACGTTAGAATCAGATCTAATTTATTATAAAACAGTAACAGTCATAAAAAATGAACTCCAATAATTTTCTCAACATTAAAACTCAGAAAAAAGACCCAAAAACTACTTAAGGAGATCTCCACTCTTGTCACCCTTGAGTAGTTTGATCTGAGTGCTCTCTACTACCAAGGTTGTTAACTTATTGACAATCATTCCAGTATTATGCCAAAATTTATTTTTGTAATTTTTTTCTCCACTGATTCTGTAATTACATTTTCTAAGAAAATGCTCTTACATTCCTAGCTTCCTATTTTACATAATCTTTATATTTACATTGAACACAACTAGGATGTTGCCACCTTACCTACGATGGAAAAACTAATAATGAATAGCACAAATGCTGAGGTTTCCTAGAAGAAAAAAAAAAAATAAAAATAAAAACACAAAAAAAAACAAAAAAAAAACAAAAAAAAAACAGTAAAAGAGAATTTAGGTCTCAGAATCAAATGGGGAAAGGAAAGAGGTATAACAGAGTTTAGGGATTCCTTTATAAACCTTCATTATAAGCAAGGCTAGGGAAATAACCTATAGGCTCATTTTTTGCTTGACACCTATTAAGCGCAAGAAGGTCAATATTTTAGAAATCTGTTGTAAATGTAAAATTTGTAACATGTCACTGGATGTGGAAGAGTAACATTTGTTTCTAGATTGTCCGTTGTTTTCTAAGACTAAAATACTGTTAAAAGTCTGTTAGATGCTTATTGTGACTCAGATCTGGATGTAAATCTGGCGATCCTTTAAATAAGGTTCCCAAATTATGTACTAAAGCTCTTGGGAATTTTAATCTCATTATTTTGGCAGAGTATAGAAAACTTGTTTGGAATACTAGACTGAGAATTGTTATAGATAATCAAAAGTTCCTTCCTGATGACCTTGAGATTATGTTTAGACAAATCGTAGACTTTCAACTAGAGAACATTAAGGGAACGTAAAAGATGATATGGTAAAGGGAAAGTCATGGGTTTGTATATTGGTGAAAATATAGTTATGCTTGGGGCTATATGCCTATGTAGGCCTAATGGAAAGATCAATGTTTTATTTCTGCAAGTCGGACTAGAGTAACCTACGTAAGTTTAGAGGCCGGACTTAACCCTTGAGATCAAGATGTCATGGAAAGAGAACAAGTAATCTATTCTTTATCACCCGTCACTAAATAGCAGGGCCGGTCTTAACCATTGTGGGGCCCTATGCAAAACGGATTTCGCGGGGCCAAGTTTGGTTAGGGATACGGATAATAAGTGAAAATTAAGAGTTTGTATTAGAAAATAAATTCGTCTTTGCATTTTATTCATTCTTTACTACGTACAGAATTACTTTACGAGCCTTGCATGTAGCGAAGTCATACAGTATATCAGAAAAATCATATTTCCTATATTGATCACGCTCAATAGCAAGAATTACCAAATGTTTTAATCTATCTACGAGAATTGTTGACCACAAGTAATTCTTCATTAGTTTGAGTCTCGAGAAGCTTCTTTCACTAGATTCCACAATTACGGGTATTGCAAAAAGATTTTTTTTATCGCGTGTAGGATTGGCGTTTTCCATATTGAATGACAACCCTTAATGACAATTTTGTCTATTTATTTCAGTAGATTTGTATGAGTTTTCAAAAGATTTTAATAATTTCCGGATATTTCCAGGCCTATTTCGTAAATTTTGCAATTACATGAGATTTCCAGAAGCTCTTGGTAAGTCTGGAGGCCGTATGAAATCTGTTTTAAGTTATAAAATGGTTTAATTTAATCATTTATACACCTAGAATTATCGCGGGTCCTGTGAAAGTGTGGGGCCCACTGCGGTCACATAGGTTGCAGTGGTAAGTCTGGAGGCCGTAGGAAATCTGTTTTAAGTTATTCACAAATTTTATCAAGTATTTTGAGTTAATTGTTGTGTCACTTGGATGTTTTCGGACTAGCATTAAAATAAGTATTCTCACCAGTGACTTATACCAAACCAACAAAAATATTGCTATCAGACAACACACAAAATCTTAAGCAGGACAGATCCAAAGCCTGGGGAAGTTGTTCTCCTTTACCCCGTGAGGAACAGGTGTACCTTGTGTAGTGTCTGGCGTAGAAGTTTGTTTTCATGGACATATGCTCTCTCATTAGATACAGTAGAGCCCAGTTTGGGTTCAATTACACTATAAGAAAGGGCCAAACTTCACATTCCTGAACCCCTTGCCCACTAGTACCCTGCTACGCCACTGGACCATCGGCAGATAACTGTTAGGTCTAAGATTACACTGAATGTGGCAACATATGTAACTTTTTATCTAGATCACACTGCCTAGGCACTAACCATACATTCCTTTACATGTAGAACACAAAGTTGAACGTCCTATAAATTTCACAGGTCTTACTGAATATCAAAAGGCCCCATCTTGATACTCTGTGAGCGAAAACACATTTTGTACCAAGTCATAGAAACCCGAATCATGTCTAACATTGTAGAAGTAATTATTCATAACCAATTTTAAGTTGTTTGCGTAGTAAGTATATTGTACAATCGTCTAGTTTGGTCGAGACAATAAGGAGCAACTATATCTTGTCTATTTATGATGAAAGGTAGCGGCTTTGCCCCAAAAAGAGGCAAAGAAAAAAAAAGAGGCCTAAGGCCCAAGGATTCCTATGATGATAAAGCTAAAATTGAATAGCGCAAATTCTGAGGTTTTATAAAAAAAAAAAAAAAAAAGGTAGCGGCTTGCAGTCAACTTTAATTTACAACAATTTATTACTTGTGGGTTTCTCCAAAACAAAAAGTCTGAAATGTGAAATAGAACCGACTCTTTGATTTATACTTTTGGATATTTGTCACAACACAATATCAGAAATCGATGCTAATCTAACCAACTTTTTTTTTTAAGGCTTGACTGATGTCAAAAATTATTGAGAAAGTTGAGTTGGATATTCTTGACATTGTGTATTCCCTGTCTAGACTGATAGCAACACATGACAATTTTAACATATGGATCTATTGATTTTATTCACTGTCTAGACTGATAGCTGATTGGACCACATAATCTAAAATAAAAGGAAAAACAAAAAAATACTAATTTTTGCGTGCTTCATAATGCATGACTTACGTTCAGACAGCACTGCCACATATATAGACAGCACAGCACTGCCAACATATTTAGCGGCCTTTTTCATTGGAGGGGGGGGGGGGGCGCTAAAAATCGAGCTTTCATTGGATTAAAACAGGAACATCATCATTCGCCATACAACAAAAATGTCTTATGTTGATATAGCTTGTAGTACGAGAAAGTTGATCTTTGATGTCTAGCACTATTCCCTCTTAACCCTAGGCAGCATGGGAGCAGTGAGCACTCATGGGATATCACATTATTAAAGCCCAACAAGTCAAACAAACCAAACTGAAATGAAGCAAACAACCATCTCAAAGGTTTATCATCATGAATGTATTTGGCAGGATGCTTGGCTTTCCTTCTACATATATATATATAATATACATATACTTCAGCAATCAATAGTAGTTCAATCGAACATATTCTCATGTTAATAGATTACAAGAAATCACAAATGAATTTACATTACAACAAAATATTTCCAAGTATCTGAGTAGCATCCAAGAAACAAAGGGTATGACAGCCTCAAAGCAGTCCAAATATCGTGATATGGTGATCAAATAGGATTTACAATATCATTGTTTTGTTTTGAAACAATTTCAGGACAATGGGAACATACTATTATTGTCTTCAACAAATGAAATTATGCCAGGGGAAAGAAAATGAAACATTTCATGCTTAACAATTTTTTAATTCAATAAAACCAAACTAAATTTAAACTGAACCAGTTTGGAATTACTGACTATAACTGATAAAAACACATAAATAACACAAATTACAAATCAGAACAATCATAGCAATCAAGTGATGCCTTTTAACAAAAAAAAACTTTTGAATCTTTATATATATATATATATGTATAAATGTTTTTTTCTGTTTTCAGACAAAGTAACTATTTGTATCACAAATATAAATATTTTCATAGGCATTCACAATCCTTATTGTAAGACTAGGCTTTCTAAATGTAAAGATCAGGGAGTTAGATATGTAGAAAACACAAAACAAAAATAAATTTGAGAAAAAAACAACAACTGATACTTAGCTCTTTAGTTATGGTAGAAGACATTTGAGGGTTGAATAAAGAAGGGAAGTTATTACAAATAATTAGAGTTACTGTTACTTCTAGATTACTACTACCATAGAAACTATTTAGATGCTGCGACATTCAATAACTATTACTGCAACATAAGTCAACCAGACGGGGGGCATAAATGGGGGGCATAAATCTAGAACGATTGTTACTTATGTAAATGCTTTAAAATTCTTGCTTGTAGAATTGTACAGTTATCATTGAAATACAAAATCAAGTTTCACAGAATTCATAATCAGATGAATGCAGAATCTCTTAATAGAAACAAAATCTGATTCCAAGAATCACTGGTTATGTCACTGGTTATATAACATCAGTTTCAGCATTTAATTACACAAAAACAAATGCTCTGTCAGGGACAAAGTGAAATATAATACCTACAGAACACCCTAAGACAGTAAACATAAAACAATGAAGAGATTCCACAGAGCAGAGACAAAAAATTGAACTTTGATAGGGCATTGTTGAATGGTAAAGAAAGGTGACAGTTATCACAAGATTAATAGTTCAAAAAAAGAAAAAAAAAAGGGATGTAAAAAATAATGATTAAATGAAGTCTGATGGAATTCCTGGAGAGACAGTGTCATAATAGTAATGATGATAGTAATAATAATAATAACATGCTCACTGATTCTATCAGACTTTACTATAGGGAAAGCTGTAATTTTATGTAATTTTACAGCATAACAAAATTTAAAAAAATAAGTTGAAATAAAAACTTGTTCAGTATCACATACATTTGGGTCAGGTACAGAGGGTTACAAAACACAACAACATGGGATGGGGCTAAAAAAAGATATCACTGGAGAATGTGGCCTGGATGTCATTGTTCAATTGGATACAATTTAATACAACTGAATTGTTTGTAACTATTTGTGCTTCAAAAGCCAAAAATAAAAATAAGAATAAAAAACAAAATGAATGACCCACTTTCTGACACATTGAAGCAGACATATTATAAAAAAAACATATAATAATCATTTATGGCTGAAACATATTCATATTAATTGGAGGCGTTACTGATGAAATTAAAGTCAAACTTGTACATGTATATTTCTTAAATTCTTACATTGAAACATCAAAAAAAAAAATCATTGCAACGTAATTAAAAAAAAAAAAGTACAAAAATAAAATGAACGGAAGCAAAATAAATTGCCCATAGCCAAACAAAGATTAATAAAACCACTTCGCCTAAACACACTGAAGAATTAAGCTCATCCGCCAAAATTATTAGGAAAAACAGACAGACCAGAAGTGTTTTCAATACTTAAAAAAATTTACAAATTAGAAAACGCAAATCATAAATATCATAGACAATTCAATTTTATTTTCAAAAATACCATTAAGGTGACTCACTCCTTTCTCACGAGCCCTTCCAAAATATTTATTGTTGAATTTGTAATGAAATAAACAAAAAACAAACAAACAAACAAGCAAATTTACATAAATAATTTCTATTTACAAATATTAAATCAAAAGTTTATAAATAAATAAAAGTTCATTTACACATTGAAATAAAGTGCACATAGTTCATAAATGTATAAATATTTGTACAAAATATGACTTTATTTATTTTCTTTTTTTACATTCCAAATTCATTTAGACACCTATAAATTTGTCAACTAAATCTGGTTATCAAAAGTTGTTTTGGCTGAGCCTACAATGGTGCTATCTCCATAGAACAGGTCATGGAAAACTAATGATCTCACTGACTACTTGTCAAACAACGAACTAGAAAAATTAACAATAAAGGCTAAAAGAATCCACATTTCAAATGATGGCAATAATTCAAATCTATTTACACAGGCAGATTTACTAGAAGGCCTCCTAATGACATACAAATCTACACATTTAAAATAAAAAAGGGAAAATCTGAAAGCTTTAAGAAGTTAAACTCCCCCCCCCCCCCCCACCCAAACCTAAAGTCTGCCTCTATGTTCATATTCTTTGCATCATCAAATTTAACCATCAGCATGATATGACTATATCATTTCTTTATGGATTATTTTTATTATTATTATATCGATAGTTGAAAATTATTCCACACAAATTTGTGAGATAACTCTTATGGCTACTTCATACTCAAGTGAAATGGGTTTACAAATATTTTTACAGCTAATTCATACAAATATAAAACATTTTTAAAAAATAGTTTTGGTTTTGAGGTTCAGTGACTCCCCCCCCCCCCCCCTTTATATGCATTTACTTTGACTAGATATAATAAGGAATGAACCTTAATTGTTCTTTGTTCAGGATAATACAAGTCTCCAGAGATCATACAGGTGTAAAAAGTTACAATGACCTCTATCACAATGATTCAGAGTTTCTCCATCGTACATTATACTATTAGCATCCTGATCATAAACAGTACCGGTACTTGCTATCACAAGCTTGTGCATTCTAACATTGACATGATATAGACATAATTATGTGTGGCATAGGACAACGTTTTTAAATGGTAAAAATGGAGGGCTCTTATCAATAATTTCAGAGTTACACTTTTTAATACAAATTATAGTTCTGTTGCTTTTTGAGGCAACTTCTCTAGATGTAGATTTTCCAAAAGTGTCTCCATTCTGACAAGAAAACAGGATACATGTACATGCATCATGGAAAACACTGATGTACCCCAAGTCTTAGGGTCAATGGTCACACACTTTTCTGTTAATTTCAATGGTATTTCTATTGTTATTCTAGTCATAACAAGAAAAATCAGCATACTAACTTCTTTACTAATTTTTTTATTACTCTACACTCACACACACATAACAACTATGTTGCAACTTCTGTCTAGTACAATTCTACAATTATGCTAACCAAAGCACATAAGGAAATTTTTATTTAACAAAAATCTAAAAACTACTATGAAAAACTATTCATTTGAATGTTAAAGCATAAAATTGTCTATTTACCAGTACTAGAACAGTACAAAGTTGGCTCTGATGTGATTGAAAAAAGAAAACATTCTTTTCAATAATACAAGTCCAAGACTTGTATTTTGAGTCCTTAAAGAAAGGCTCAGTGGACTCATGTCATGTATTATTTTTACCTTTTTTTTTTCCTTTTTCTATCTACATTTGATGAATACTTTCTGTGTATAACCAATACATGTTGGATTTATTGCAACATTAAATATAAGTAAACAGAACAATTTATATAAAAGTAAAATTGAGTTCCCATTTACTTAGTTAACAGCTACATTTTAAAAGTAATGAAAAAAGGAAAAAAAAAAAAAATACAAAGGGGCATCTGAAATAAACAAAATTTTCCAAAGCTCAGCTTTCAACCAACACTAAAACAAACAAGTTAGTTCCACAAAAGTAGTCTAAAGTTACCCTTGTATCATGTTAATACTAGGTAGATGGGGAAAGGGGGTGGGTGCTGTTTTCTGTTTACATTAGAGAACCATATAAAGAGATAAACATCTTTTTTTTTTTGTTTAAAACTGACCATCTGTCGCTCATTCTCCTGAACTTCTTTCACAATTCTCCTTGGTATCGCTCTTGTGGTCAGCTTTAGAATAATTTGTGACCGCATGATTTCTCAGGACTTGTTCCACCAGCTCTGGTATAGTCATTGTTACTTCATACTCAAGTGGATTGATCTGAACACACAAAGGAAAACAAAATTTCACAGAACTGCTAACTGTATAGATATACATACTAAATAATACATAAACAAAGACACAAAAAGTTAAAACCTTATTTAGTTGATAAAAGGCCTACAAGCTTTCAGCATTGTGGATGTCACAGTAGTGATAACGATTTTAGTTTTAATTAAAATCATTTTCATTCTTACCCTATTTAAGCTTTATTCATCAAACTTTTAAAAAAACAATTAATTTCACATATTCATTAATTATGAAACATTTGATGGCCTGTATGAATGTTTGGCTAAACACATTAACAATAGTATTCTGATAATATCAAATCATATAATAATGATAATAATAATAAAGATGTTTTGAAATTTCTTTTACATATAAAAAGTAGGTTAGATTAAAACAAAAAAGAAAGTTTACTGCAAAAATTGAATTTGTTTAAATTAATCAGCAATCCTCTACATAAACAAACTGTACATCTACGTACACCAACCTCTCTAGCGTTGTGCGAGTCTCTAATGACTGACCACTGGTTGATGATATCATTGTAATGTGCCGCTTGAACAAAGTCTCCTATTTGTGTGTACAGCCTGACCAATCCCCTGTAGTCATATTCCAGACCACTGTAACCTTCACCAAATAACTGTCTCCCTGAATCACAAGTGCAGTTAAAAGAATAAATAGAGACTAATCACTGACATCTTTTTAGTTAAAAGATTTCTAACAAAGGGAAAGAATGATTCAATTCTTTTATGCACCAAAAGTAATAAATAGTAGACAGTACATTGATCTATTGGGGTGGTGAAAGTTTTAAGATTTAAAATTTCACATTGCATTGTAAATTGGCATATAGTAAAGTGTTAAAAGAATGTAATTGTATGATTGGTTTTTTAATGATACAATGTGCAAGTTTAATCACTTAAATTACTACATCTCATTTGGTTAAATGGTGCTGCCCTCTGTGAATATATTCTCCAATGTAGGGGAGAGCTAAATCAGAGAGAGATGAAACGTTATGAAAGTTAGTCAATATATTTGTTCTATGAGCATTAGTTAAAAAAAGTGCTCTATATTTTTTCATATTTTTTATTTGATGTTTGTGGTCTACTAGATATTATGTCAATAATCACAATTAAGTCCCATGCACCCTTGGTGACACGGGGAACAACATATCTTACTAATTTACCTATTTTAACAGATCTCAGGTATAATTTTTCTGCTTCATCATATTTGAAAACATCATAGTTAAACAATGACGCTAGATGTCCAACTGACAGAGCCACTTCGTAGTCATCAGGACCTAACAAGCGTTCTTTTATTTCAATGGCTTGTTTGTGCATTCTCTCTGCATCCTAAATATCACACAAATAAAATCAGGAGTATATAGTTGATGGCACCATTTTCATAATAAAAAAGCTAATATGTTATAATTAATGTGACAATGCTTAAGTCTAAATTCAATGCAATTCCAAAATGAACTATCTTTGGATTAACTATTTATATAACTGAAATGCTCAATTTTTGTTTGTCTTCACCACAAGCATAGAAAAATATTTTCTATTTGCTTATAACAAGAAAAAAAAACTGGTGTAGTGTGCTTCTACACAATGTAGCACTGGAAATTTGGGTTGCACTATAATTGTGTTTGCACAAATTGTGTCTCCTTGTTTTTGTTAGAGGATGGTATATTGAGGTGATAGAACCTTTTTGTTTGATTTTGACTTGTTTAAGGGGTCTGTTTACCCCCTTGCTAGTGAATTATATATGTAAGAAATAGTTTTTTGATATTTAAAACCCTAGTAGTAGATATTAATGCAAGAGCGTAAGTTCTTTATTTTGTGTGGGGGAGCTAACTTGGGCTAGCGTTGTACTGTTGATCACTGTACCTTCAATGATCTGATGAGTGTGAGTTTGGTGAGCTAGTGTTGTGGTTGACAGGTGATATTAGAGTGCTGACATGTTTGAACTGTAATGGGCTTGTGAAACATCAACATTAGTTATATTGTTCATGAGTATCTTTGCTAATTACTCATAATCACCTATGATTGCAACATTGAATTTTACAACAATTTTCATCCTTTCAGTACATTGTTAAAATCCATTGTATTAAATACATCAACAAATTAGTCATTTATTTCATATTCACTTGTCACCTGTTACTTTATTAAAATGTCAAAATGAGCCAAAGCTTAAAAATCAACCCTGACATATGGCAAGTCTATTTAAAAAAAAAACGCTTTGGATATTCCTACAGAATTGAATATTATTACATCCTAGCCCAAACCTCCCGCAGGATGGTGGGAAATGGTGGGGGGTTCAAACCTGGTCCCATCTAAACAACAGTCCAGGGCACATACCCCATGACCAGGCAAGCTTTTGAACTTTACAAGCCAATCAATTATGTAAGTAAATATTAATACTTTCAATAGTGCCCATAAGAGCTATAAAAAAAGGCACTAGAATAACCAAACATAAGACCTACTTCATATCTCTTCATTGACTGATAAAGTCTGCCCAAGTTGCCATAATGCTTAGCAGTCTGCACATTTTCCTCCCCAAATGCTGACCGAGCCTGTTCTAAGGAAGACATATGAAGACTCAAGGCCTCTTCAAGATACTTCTTTTCCTCTTCCCTATCATTACAGTCTATGCCTATTTCTTCCAAGATTAATGCTGAAAAGAAAAAATTGTGCAAAATATATAAATTCCAAATATTAAACAAATAAAATATATTTAGTATAGTAATGCTTGCATGGTTTCAAAGGCTGCCATAATTTGTAAAGAAAGGGTGTAGCTAGATTGTCAATAAACCACTCATAAATAGAATGCATCTCAAACGGCCTCTGATAATCAAGTTCAGCTCCTGCCAGCGACTGGTGAAATGTCTTTTATTGAAAAGGCTTTGGGCAAATGAAGCTTGTCAGCCAAGTAAAGCAAAATTTATTTTGGAGAGGGCTGCTTAGATTTTACACCTTAACTGCTTGCAACACTAAGACCTTAGGAATCAACTTCATGGAAAAATCAGAGGGTAGCACCTTATGCCTTGGTGCCAAACATATTCTAAAGCATTCCTATGGAACATACCAGCAAGGTCAAGAGAGAGACCATGTTACATGACTTTCGAAACACAAAAGAACCATATTAATGTTTGCATTTAAGAACAAGTAGACATCATAAAATAAAGGAAAAAAAAAAGAATGAACGAAAAAGGTAGAATCACAAAGAATCTAGATTTAGACATTCTAGGCATAGACATTTAATAATGAATTGTCATCTTTAAAAAGGGACGTGATGTCTGACAAGTAAACCACTTGGCTTATGGGGGTTCAAATCCTGGTGAAGACTGGTATTTAGAATTTCAAGATTTTTTTTTTATGGCACCCCTGAGCCCACACCATTCTAATGGGTACCAGACATTAATTTGGAGAAAAGTAAAGACGGTCGGTCATTGTGTTGGCCACATGACACCCTAGTTGACCATGGATCATAGAAACAGATGGCCTTTACATCATCTGCCCCACAGATAGCAAGGTCTGAAAGGAACTTGTAATGTTTGTCTTTAAAAGAAATAGTAGACAACATAGATGAAT